TATTCTATAATAGAATTACAATAACTTCAAGATTTGGCATTTACACCTACTACCATATGTGAACAACAGTCCCCCTGTGGCACCCTGAAGCTCTGAAATGCTATTTCCCACAGAACTGAGACTTATGAAAACTGGAAACACCAATCTTCTTACTGTTTTGAGCTGGAGGTTACATCTATAGAGTTAAATCTGTATTTTTCATTTTCTTTTGAGAGTGGTAGTCAGGAAAGCAGTTAATTAGCTGATATGAGCTGGTGCTTCCCCTTTCTTCCCTAAACTTTATCTGCCCCTTTCATCAAGACCCACTTCTCCTAGGCCAAATATGTAGTGAATATCAGCATAAGAGGAGAAGGAAGCTGTAGATACCCCACTACCACCACAACCAAAACAGGTATGCACTTGGGAAAGTATGGGGAGGCATATAAATATAACAAAGACATCAGTGCTGGATGAGACTGAAACATTTCTCAAGACAACGATAAGGTTGGACTTGGGAATTGTTGAAGAAAATTGCTTATTTTTCACAATTAACTCTGTCTCTCAAGGAAGCCTTTAATTTGAAATGTCTAGTTAATACGACCAAAGAGCAGAACTATGAGCCTCTGGAAAAGGCCACCCTATCAGGAATCACTCTCCTTAAACCTAAGCCACCTCTGAGGCATTCATCACATCAGCTTTGTAACGGAGTAACTGTTCTCTTCCTTACCACTGGACTGAGCTCCCCAAAATTAGAAAATGCAACTAACTCATCTTTGTATTCTCATAGGCATCTGGCAAGGCATATACCTTTGATATACTCTCATTGAAGGGATAAACTGAAAATCCATCATTCAGAAAGAATTAGTTGCTAACGCTGAAAAAGAAACTGTATGCATAATCTACACATACTCATTTAAATAATGGAGTTTATTGAAGACAGCAATATGCAACATGACAACCACTGCTGAATTCCTATCACCTTGTCTGGTGAAACTCTGTATTGTTTATAATTTTTTGGTTTTATTTTTTATTCTCTTTAATGATTTGATTAATCTTGCATTCTTACATCTGGTAATCTAACCAACTTCGATGAAGATAAAAATATGTAGTATAACAACCACTGTTAATCCTTATCATTTTGTTCTAAAACCCTGTATCATTATTGTTTTTGCTTTGTTTTGTTTTTGTCTGCGTTGCTGGCATTTTGTTACTGTTCTCTTTTTTTCCTCTTTAAAATAAATAAATAAATAAATTCGTTTAAACAAGCCTGAAAAGGAAAGACACTTGTCTTCTGCAAAATGCACCCAAAAGGTGTTCTACTTTCCTCATTAGCTGGAGAGCCCACTGAGGTATAGCACTGTGCTTCTGAGGTCACTGTTTGATGCAGATCCCTTCTCACTTTCCTTCCGCTCTGCAGGAGTAGTTTTTAGTTGTAAACACCACTGCACTTGGACCAGCCAACAGGAGTAGTTTTTGAGAGATGCCTGGTATATACTATTACTTGGTTTCCTGAAAATCTTAAGGTTTCTGAAGCCTAATTATAAACTAAGCCTCATTCTAAATTTTGAGCCAGAACCCTCAAATCTCCCCCCAATCAAAGATATAAAAAGATGGCAAAGAAAGGCAAAAATACAGCAGGCCACCAAACTCAGATCAAAGGAACTACTAATGCTGCTGAAGGAAAAATTTCCTGAATAACAGTATATCACAGTGAATTGAATGTCCCAGTCAGCCTCATTATCCACATAATGAAACATTTATTGTTATGGATGTACTTAAGTTTAATAGAAAGTAATATTGTACAGTATGTGGAAATCTATAGCTATAAAACAGATGGTTTTTGATAAATTATGCTCTAAACAATATCCCCATCTTCTCACATTATATTACTTTCTAGCTGACACTTTTTCTATCATGTTCAAGATTGTCAAAAAGGCTTTCGAACCCATGCTTTTGTACTCACCTTTCATTCATTCTCAAACTACTGAAATTTGCCCTTTACTGAAAGTACTTTCCTTTGCTACTTTTAAAAGAAATATCCAGGGGATGTTCACGGGTTTTCTCTTGCTGTCTTGGTCACTGTTGTTCTTTCATCTTAACTCTCCTGTCCTTGGACTTCTAGTATAACATTTCTCTTGATCTCCTCATAACCCCTGAATTTGAAACTTGGTTCCACCATTTATTATGTGGTCTTGGGTAAGTTATGTGAACCCCAGTGTTGGCTGCACTGACTTTGGCAGCCTCTGGCCTGCCACACTGTCAGTCCTGATCCCAGTAGGCAACAGAAGCAACAGTAAAGACTAGCTAGGACTGCTAATTTTGATTGCCAACTTGACTGGATTTAGAGGTAGAGAATGGTAATGCACATTCCTGGGTGTATCCGTGAAGGTGTTTCCAGAGAAGTCTGGCAGGGCATTAGTGAACTGAAAGTGCATAGCACCATCCACTATTTGGGTGCCAGGACTGCATGAAAGAGCAGAAGGGAGGGGGCTGGGGATTTAGCTCAGCGGCACAGCGCCTGCCTGGCAAGCGCAAGGTTATGAGTTCAATTCCCGGTACCGGGAAAAAAAAAAAAAAAAAAAAGAGCAGAAGGGAAAAGCTCCAGGGCACGCACGTGCACATGTGCTTACACACACACACACACACACACACACACCCTTATTCAACTCTTCCTGAACAGATGTATTGTTTTTTTTCTGCTACTATTGCCTTTGAATATTTGACTCCGGATCCTTCACCCCATGAATGCATAGGCACCAAGGGATCTCCAGGGGGTTTGTTCAGGCCCTCAGCCTCAAATTGGGGCTGTATCATTGGTCTTCCTGTTCTGCTGCTTGACTGAGCAACTACCATTTTTCCGGGCTCTCTGGGTAAGTCTGGAGTCACTGTGGCACTATCTAGTCTCAGAGCATCAGAAAACTATTACCAGGACTCGTAAAGAGCTAGAAACATGGTCAACAAGAGCTCTCTCTGGCCATGGAAGTATAGGGCTACTGCTAAAACTATAGAGTAAGTGGGTTGGAAAGAGATAAGTACCTTGATTACCTCTCACTCCTATCACCCTTCAATCTTCCACTGGTGCCTCTCACTACTGAAATCTAACTAGAAGCGGACAACAGGATGGAGCCTGGCTGAAGCTCTAGAGGTTCACCTCCTGAGAGATCCAGCAATGGAGGAAAGAGTACAGAATGAACTTGGGTGCAGGACAATGGGGAACAGCCATCACACAAGCATACTGCTGAGCATTTCCTTCACACATATGTGCCAGGTATTCTAAGGAACCAGGGTACAAGAGTCTCTAAGACAGTCTCTATGACCATTTTCATTGTGATTTTCATTCTACTGAGCTGGGAACCAAGAGAGAAGAGAGGCCAGGGAGCTGGAACATGGTGGCGGAGGGGGCTGCGGGGGAGGTGAGGTGTGAAGAGCAGGCACAGGTGAGATCATAAAGGGCTTTGTAGGCCAGGCAGGGAGGTAGGTTTTTCCCCTTATGCAGTAAAATGGCTTTGGGCTGATGGTAGTAGGCCGGTACATATAGACAAAGACAACTGTTTCAAATTTTCAAATATAATTTCCACAGTATCTTGAAAAATAAACCAGTGATACAAGAATGGAAGTATCCCACTGTAGTTTGCAGTTCCCTGGCCACAGGTGCTACACAAAAAGCCAGAATTTTGGGTAGGGGTGGCACTGTTTTAGATCAGAATGCGCACCTGATTCACAAAGTGACCCACCTACAAATTGGCTGGTAGCCCACAAGGTGGCTTAGAGGTAAGGGCTCCACATCCGGGTAATATTCCTCTGAAATGTTGACTAGAAAGTAATGAGGGGATTAACTAACCAGTTGGGGTATGAGAGTAGCTTAGGGATAGAGAAGAACAGAGACACAATGACAAAAAAAAGAACAACTTGCCCTCAGAGGTGGCTGGGCTCTAATAGCTACTCAACTATCCAATAAATATTCTTGCGCTTTTTCCCAGTAAGGCAGCATTTGAGTCTCCCCTCACAAGCACAAGAGTCTAACGAGCACATCACCGTCCCAGTGCTTCCCTCTTAGACCTCCTCTCAGTCACATCAGTCACGAGTGACAAAGGTCTGCTATGGTAATAAAATGCTCAAATTTCCATAGCTAGAAACAACCAAAGTTTTCTTCTCACTTCACATGCCCATTATGAAGTGTTTAGGACTCCACTCTGCATTCCTTCTCCTCCAGGACCAGGACTGATAAAGCGCACACTCTCTGCAACACTGTTGATCATCGTGGCAAAGATGAAAAGTGCTCTGGAGGGTCTTTCATCAGCAATGAAATAATACACTCACAACTCACTGATAGAACATCACGCAGCTCAATCCAAACATAAGGAGACCAGGATATTCAGCTGCACCACGTACATGAAAACGGCAAGTACCTGGCACACCTATCACCATGCGCTCATCCCTAACCATGGTTTTAACTGCTGCTTATACACCAATGTTAAAATTAAGAAAGAGGCCCCATTTGAACCCTGTATCTATATTTTTAACCACTTACTGGACACTGCATTTGCATGTCATCTCAAAGCTCTTGTATCAAGGTGGACCCCTTCATCTTTCTGACAAAGTTTTTGTATTTTCTCTGGGTCAATGGCTCCCTTATCTATCTACAATCTCAAAAAAGAAATTCAGCCTGTCCTTCACTTCTTATCCTTCTAACACCTAATCAGTCATCAAATGCACTGATATTTCTCCATGTTAATAAATCCAGGACTCTTACCCTATGTCAGCTCTTCCGTGGATTCTTGCCCAGGCAATTCTGTCAGGTTTTCTGTCTGGTTTTCCTGCTTTTTCTTTGCCTATAGACTGCAAAAGTTTGTAAGTCAAGCAAACATTATTTCTTAAATAACCAATGGGCCCACTTTGAAGAAATTCAATGCTAAAGAAGGAGAAAGTGAGGTAAATTAAAAAATGACAGACAATGGGGCAAATGTGGTAATAGGTACACAGAAAGTAGCCTGAGAGAGGAACGGAAATACGAAATTGGGTATGATAGCGATAAGATAGTGCGGGAGGTGGGTTGCTTCTAGAGAGGAAATGAAACTTCAGCTAAAAGATGAGAGAGGAACTTTTGCTGACCCAACCACACCCGGGATAGCAGGTACAGGGGATTGAGGGGAACTGCTTAAAGAAGCAAGCAGGTACCTGACGAGCAAGAACCCAAAACGTCCTGGTTATTATTTGGCAGGCAATCAGGCATCAGCTTTCCTGTCGGGATAAGAAACCCGAAAGGAAGCGCAAGTCTACGGGAGATGGTATTTTTGCTTGTGGATGGCATGGCACAGTTAACGTTTACTGAACAACCATTTCACGCTGCAGGCCAATCGCCTTAGTGTATCATTTTATTTAATCCGCAGCAATTCTACGAGCTAAGGTCGTACTCTTCATTTTGCAGTTTAAAAAGAAACACTGTGACTCCGGGATTAATAGCTTTATCAGTTACAGCTACTAAACCTCTTTTCCACCAAAGCCTCCACTGGTATTTATCAGACCACGGGGAGTGCGAAGAACCTGACCTTCCACCCGGACGTGTGCACGGGCCGCTATCAGGGCCCCAGGAAAACTAATGCTAAAGGGGTGCAAAGGGGTGCAAAGGGGAAAAACAAGAGTTGGAGAGGAGGCCGCGCGACGCCCTGGAGGTCTCCTTCGGAGAACCTGCTCCACGGCCCCTGGCTCAGCGCCTGGCACTAATAAAGGACCTCTGGAGTGAGGGGACATTCCAGCAAAGGTGGCATTTTATGCCCAATTTCGCCGGCTGCCTCGGCGACCAGGTTGTGAGATCCACGGAGGGACCTCGCCACCGGGGGAGCACATCCCAGGCGGGAAGACGGCGTGGAGGACAGTCAGCCAGCCCTCCTCGGGGCAGATCGAGAAGTTTTCGTCCCCTAACGTCGCCCCCCGGGCGCGGATGTGAGCGGACGGCTCCGCGCGGGCGGTTACCGCGGAAACTCCCGGAGGTTCCCAGCCGCAGCCCGCGACCGGGTCGCCGGGGGCGAGGGGCGGGGCGCGCGCCCTGACTGAC